GCCAAATACAATCCCCTTACAGGACTCTTCCAACGATGTTGTACTCTGCTAGTAGGCGCCATGCCGCATGCTCTCTTCGCCCAAACTACGTTAGCGCTTGTAGTACAGCAGCTTCTCAGTATAAAACAGGTGCCGAAAATGAATGCCTACTGCCGATCACTTTACCCTCATAAGATCGATGCTCGACTGAACTGGATGCTCGGACACGCCAAGAAGTTGAACTACCTGAAAGAGGAAATTTTTTGTATAGAAGAGAAACAGTGGCGGTAATAACTCGATTACATTTGAATCGCTACGTATTGTGAGCTTCTGCTGTGAATCGCCGAGAAGATCGTAGAATTCCTCATTGTACAGCTCAACGAAGCGGCATACCACCTCGTATTTAAAGTTCTCTCCTTTCTGAAAAGTACTTTCCTAGAAAAACACATACTACAAAAGCATATGCGCTTGAAATACCTCAGCTGCCATAGTGCATAACTTCGTAAAGAGGCGCGCGTCACAAGCTCGAGGAATCTAGACCGCGATGCTCAGGATTTACAATGAAGTTGTCGACCTGAGACGGTCCAAGCATGGTGTGCGTTTTCCCGGAGCCGGTTTGGCCTAAAGTATGATAACTGTGAAACATGCCAGGGATATGATTTGGTAGTTACCGTATGCGAATATGGTGCCGTTGAAGCCATTCACGCATCCATCGATGATACGGCTGGCGACCTCTTCAAACACTTGCTCCTAAGTAAAGAAATAAAATTAGATGAGTGCGATAAGGCGCTAACCTAGTTGGGCTGCGTTCACACTTTGCATCAGTGTTTTGAGCATTTTGATAGATATTTGATTGATTTTGCATCTACGCACGTGTACGCCCACCGTTTTGAGCGACTAGGAGAACAATATCAGATTTAGCGTCTTCAGCGACTGCGCGAAAATTGAGAACTACCCGCGAAACGCGCAAAACGCTCGATAGATACCTATAATTTCCTAGTCGCTCAAAACGCTGTAATACGATACCTATACTTTCGCGCCGCTTACAATGTCAAAGAACTGACGCAAAGCGTGAACGCACTGTAAGAAGGCATCACGCGTGAAGGCGAGCCACTACGATGACATACGTCGCCGGCGCCCTTCCTCTCATCGAGGTGGTGGATCCCTTCTTTCCCACAGGTTGAGTTTTAATTTGTGTCAGCGTCCTGAGCGACTCAGAAAGTAATATTATGGGCCAGCAATTCGAGCGTTTTCGCGGAGCGCCTTGATTCACGGACAATCACTGAAAATTGCGTACGCTCAAAGTACCGACGCAAAGCAATGAAGGCAGCTTCAGACTTAGACGAGCGCATGCGACCCGAGTTGCCTCTACCGACTGTCGCTGCGTGGCCCCCTCCAAATAGGACAGCGACAATGAAGACAGCTGAATGAGGAGTAGTGAGAGTAGTTTACCTGTGGAACCGTTTCACTGAAGACTTGCATCGAATGTGAAATTCTGGGGTTACGTGGGTTGAAGCTGAAAAAACTCACTGAATCGAAGGAAGGAAATGTGGAAAGTGGGCCCTCACCATAAGTTTTTCTCATCGAGTACGTTAGTTATTCGCTCGCTATTGCGAGTACATGCTGACGGACGTACTCTTGCAGTAACTCGAATGAACTCGCCCGCCATATCTGAAAATGGAAACCATATGAGAGTCGCGCACCCGCGTGACATCCCCGAACTATTTTTGCCTACGACAGCAAAACACAAAAACCATCAAACCGCGTTCAACTTTGCGATGGGATCGGTCGAGCGACTGAATCGCGCGACCGCGACCGAACCGCCCCACCCCCCAAACGGTCCACAGCCCGGAAACGGCACATTCAAACTGGCACGAACGACACGAAACGAACGCGGCCCAATTTGATTTCTGCCGTTGTGGCGGTGCACCGCTTGGCGACTGAGCGATTGGATCGAGCGATTCAATCGCTCGAGCGATTCGAATGCGGTCCCACATTACACAAACCTTAAAGGATAAGGCTTGGGCTGTTGATCAAGCCCTTTCTGGATTGTGGCATGCATTCTACAAATGACCGCCCTCAGACGGGTGGAAGGTCTGGTTGACTAGGGCGGGAGCCGATCTAGGACCACGCACGTAGTAAGCGCGAGATTTGCCACTTTCACCTTCGGATCACCAAACTAAAGTTACTTGACGTACAAGTTCAGTCACTTCTTCTGAGGAATACTGGTAGGTATTGGTGAAAAAAAACGGGGTGACGGTAAAGCAGGCATCGTAATCGCCGCACCGCACGCGCGGCAAGGGCGCGGCGTTTTCATTTTTTAAAAAACGTTATTAACCTGTCGAATGGAAGCACCGGACTTCATGTAGACCCCGTCATCGTAGACACTCATTACTGTTTTCGGTCCTTAATTGCATGTTGTCGCCATCTACTGCCTGAAACCATCGTCCTTTGCGGGCGGGACGTCGCACGCGACGCCCAGCAGCGCGGCAAATTACGATCACTGTTCGTCACATACCCTGAAAAACGGCTTGGTGGGGACACTTCGCTGATTTATATCGATAGCTAACAATGGCTGATGGCTTGTAATGCACTGCCATAGCACGCTTCAATCAAGCTTGACAAGTGTTTACAGGTCTCACCAGGGTGGGACCTGCAATTTATACTGGTAAAGAAAATAGCGAACCGACAAAATGCCACTTCTCCCCCCCCCCCCCTAAAGTCTACGGTTTCACACGGAAACACTACTCGGATGATCCCTAGAAATATGATGGAAAGAGAGTTATTCAAAGGTAGAATGCACAGTTCATTAAAGTGGGTCAGCAGCCTAGCAAGGCAACTGAATATATCGAAAAATAGCGGATCAATATTTAGTGGCTACTTGCACAAGAAACCTGTAAGAACCCTACAGACAGCAGGTAGGAAAAAGACATACCACGGTCTTGAGAACCTGCAAGACTTAATAAAAAGCAGACTGTCTCGTGTTCACGAGAAAAATGAAATGAAACACCCCTCGAGTCGCAGTAACGACCCAACAATATTCAAAATGTTTTGTTCCGCGCGTTGCGTACGGTAGACACCACTCAGATGTGCAATTGCAGAATCATTAAAGCAGCGTGCTGCATATAACCACTCACATTAGAAGAGAGGTTATCTCAAGGAATTGGGAGTCTTTTCTCTCACTGGTATTTTGACTACGTGATCAAGTGAATCTCAGCCCTACAAACCGTCTATAGTAAAAGCGGGTATTCCTTTTGAGTGACACTTAGTGAACCACTTTGAAGTTAAGTAGTGCGGTGCACCCGCTGAAATGCTTGTCCTCTCCAAAGGATTATTCTTACTGTAAGACTAACCAAGACTTTGCGGGAATGCGAAAACTCTTCTCTGCAGAAAAACACTGCAGTTGTGGCAAGAGGCATGCTTACCATACGCGCTGTCCACGGTCGAATCGGATCGGCTCCCACCCTGGCCAACCAAGCCTTCCGCTCCTCTCCCCCCCCCCCCCTGGGGACAACAAGTTGATACCAGATTCGTCTGCAAAGGTTACTACGAATCCGTGTTGCAAGAGAATGCGTGCCGCATCTCAAGAAAGGAATGGTCAATGGCGGAGGCTCGGTCTTTTTTTATTTCACTTATCCTTCTCTGAATCTTCCTTTGTCCGACAAACATATCATGTGGGTTCTCGATGGGCGAACCAAAAAACACATATTTTTGATTAGCCCATCAAGAACGAACTCTTCTCACATACAAGAGTTCTTGTATGAACTACATATGTCACTTCTCTGATTCGCACTAGTTTGCGAAATAAAAAAAGCAGTTGAAAAGTGGGATATTTCACCTCTCGAACGTCTTACGCTTAATCCAGTTATCATATGGTTGATGAGTTTTCGATGGGAAAGACTTGAGCCACTCAAAAGCTCTACTCTTTTGCGCATTGTTCCCGAAATTCATTCATAAATCTTGGTATGCCTTGATAGCACATGTCCTCCTAAACTGTGTGTGAGCTCTCCTTGAATCTTTGTTTATCATCGATCTAATTGCTTCTGTGTGGGCGCCTCCTACGCTGTGGTGGTTTAAGGGTAACTGTGGCCGTTTGCCAGCTTCTGCCGTTGGTGAAAAACGGGATAGCGCCGCGCGAGCTCTAACCCCTATCCCGCCTCATTGTCAGCAGCTAACAACACCGTAACTTCATTATCTTTTAGGTTGTTTGCTTTTCAGCCCTATCCTCACGACCCACGCCCAACTCCTGAGAAAAGGGCGAGGAGCGATATGGTTTTTGGAAACTCTTATTTGATTTAAGAGGTGTTCTCAAATCTACCAAAGAAGGGACTCCCGTTTGCGCGGCGTGGTTTCACGGTGCCAGGAAGAAGACCATCTACTGAAAAAGTATCCTGCGCACCACCTTATTGAAAAGCTGGAAGAAATGGACTTGGGAACAGCATGGGACATTCTCACAAATAAACTCGTTTCTACGGTATCTTACCAAAAACCATAGCTTGGTAAGCGGCAAATCTATTCAAATGTTGGGCTCTTACTACATAAGTGGTCGAAGGGGAGTTCCTCATAGGACGGCTTGAGGACTCATTATTATTTTGAACTGTGGTTCTCTTCGATGAACGCTCCTTTTGTGAGTTTTCGTGATACGGCGAGGTAAGCAACACCAAGGACAGCGTGTAAATGAATCACTTCGGGAGGGGACCATTGCTGACTGGGAAGGAGAAAAAGTCAACGTAACCTTATCCCTGAGACGGAGTAGGCGTGGCTTTTGAAAATGGCATATAATGGGATATTACTTGTGAGATATTTCAATTAGAGAGAACTGTCATCTTGTCCTGTTCTTGACAGAGACACGTACAATTGTCTTAGAATGAAAATATCTCTCTAAAAGCACAGCCACGCTCACTTAAAGTGCGTAGCCACGCCTACCACATCTCAGGGACTCCAAGTGTATGTGGGAGCTCTGGGCAAACAGGAATTTTTGTTGGTCGGAATGCTGCAGGTAACACTGCACCGTGCCGTCCTCAGCTCAGGCAGCAGTGGACAGTGCTCCTATTGCACTCAATCATCCATTTACACTACATT